CTGACAGAGACTGGAGAAACTCTGAGAGTATGGCCCTTGGACACCCTTTTAGCTCAGTAATGAAGTCACTCCTGAGACTCACCTTTTATCCCAAGATTAGACAGTCCCATAGGACAACGAGACTAAAGGGGCACACCTGTCCAGGGGCCAGGACTAGAAGGCAGGAGGGGACAGGAAAGCTGGTAATAGGGAACCCAAGGTCAAGAAGGGAGAGTACTGACATGTCATGGGGTTGTTAACCAATGTCATAAAACAATATATGTACTGTTTAATGAGAAGCTAGTTTGCTCTGTAAATCTTCATCTAAAGTACAATAAAAAATAAAGAAAATGTGAAACACTACATATAATGGTCTCAGTATTATTTACTGAAACTTTTTCTTTATATGTGTGTGCACCTATATACTGGGTTGTGATGTAAAATGCATTTCTTACTTGAAAGCTACTCCATTGGATGACCACCAGGTTACTTTCTAGAACTCTGTGAAAGAGCTCTGTATTGTAAGTCAAAGGCCTAGGTCCTCACTCTGCCCTTTACTAGCAACTTGTTATTATCCCTTTGTGAACCTCAGTTTCTCCATTTGTGCAACAATGGTAGTAGAGTGGTCAAAGTCTAAAGGCCCTTCCAATTCCAGAATTTTTTACTCTAGGAACATTCATTTATTCATCAAATATTGCTTGAGCAGTGCCTGCTTTGTGCCAGGTACTGTTCTAGGTGTGGGGATACAGTAGTGAACAAAACAGACAAAAAATAAAGTCCGTACCCCTCATGGAACTTATAGTCTAGTGAGGATAGATAGTTAGAGAAGTAAGTAAAATGTGGACAATGTTAGACGGTAGTAAGTGCTTAGAAGAAATATAAGCAGAGAGAAGAGGAATATGAAATATCAGAGAGGGAGTTGACATTTTAGATAGAGTGGTCAGGATGTTCTCACAGTGAAGATGGCTTTTGAGAAAAGACCTGATGGAATTGAGGGCACTAGCCATGTGTGTATCTGGAGAAGAACATTTCAGGAGGAAGAAACAGCAAGTACAAAGACCGTGAGGTGGGAGCACGCTGGCATGTGCCCTGAACAGCAGGGAGGCCAGTGTGGTTGGAGGAGAGTGAGCAAAGGAGAGAGTAGTGGAAGATGAAGTCAGAGTGGTAACAAGGGGTCAGGGTAGGAGGGTCAGATACGGGGTAACAGAATTCTTTAGAGCTGCCTTCAGTCCCTTTTGTAAGCTGTGGATAATAATGCCTGTCTGCACACAGTTGTGAGGATCAAATGAGATGGAAATGTGCTCTCAAAACTGAGATCCAATACAACTATTAAGTATTTACTACTAAGTATTACTATTAAATATGAAGTACTGTTTTGTGGATTAATGTAAATGGAGCAAGTTGGTGACAATGCGGGAATGCTAGCTCTCTCTCCCAAGCACTCCCCCAAGCCACCTGGAAGAGTGTAGTCTTCTAGATACAGCAGATCTCCCAGTAGTGGCCACCCTTAATGCCAAGAGTCTAAGCGTTTCTCTCTTTTCACTTAGAAATTCCATCACCCAGAGTTAAGTATTCTTCATCGGGAAAACTTCATCTGGAATCTGAAAAATGTTCCTCTTCTGGAGAAATATCTATACACCTTGGACCAGAATCAAAATCCTGAGATTATCAAACAGGTCATTCAGCTGTTCAAGGATGAAGTGATGACCAAACTAAATCATTTTCGAGAATGTGAGTACTCCCCCAACCAAAGAAATATTTTTCTCTATATTTAAATTGTAAACTTTCAAACCATCAGAAAAGTATTGAAGTTACAGCTTAGCTTTATCAAATCTTAAAATTTTGCCATATTTTCTCCTGTTATATTTTAAAGAGTAATATTTTTATTTTCCTTAAAATTGATAACATTTGAAGCTCCCTCTGTACATGATTCTATGTCTCTCCTCCCTACTGAATTTGCATGCATGTTTTAATATCATTACTACAGTTCTGCCCTTGTCTTTATTTTCCTTGGGCCTATTTTGCTTTTTTTTTAATTATTATTTTGGACCTTAGGCACATAAATTTAATTCAACAGCCTTGGCTGAGAAAGAGAAATGAACTAGGGTGTTCAATAACTGTTTTTACATGGCTTGATTTTTCTACTTTCAGGTATCAATCATGGAGATCTTAATGACCATAACATTTTAGTAGAGCCCAGCAGCAATTCAGCCTCTGGAGATACTGTATATCAAGTGTCTGGGATTTTAGACTTTGATGACATGAGCTATGGCTACTATGTGTTTGAAGTGGCAATTATGATCATGTACATGATGATTGAAAGCAAGACTCCCATACAAGTGGGAGGTCATGTCCTTGCAGGGTTTGAAAGTATAATCCCACTGACAGCTTTGGAGAGGGGTGCTTTGTTCCTACTTGTGTGCAGTCGTTTTTGTCAGTCACTTGTCATGGCTGCATACTCTTGCCAGCTACACCCGGAGAACAAAGAATACCTCATGATTACTGCAAAAACTGGATGGAAGCACTTACAGCAAATGTTTGACATGGGCCAGAAAGCTGTAGAAGAAATCTGGTTTGAAACAGCCAAGTCCTATGAATCTGGGATCTCCTTGTGACTAGTTCACATTAACTTCAATAATAAAAAAACCCAACAGGATCAAATCTAATTTTACGAAGGATTTTCCTACACAGTTAAAAATGAATTGATGGAACTGATCAATTCTGAACCTGACTATAAGAATGGCATAGTGGGGGTGTCTGACCTCGTCTAACTTCACAAGGAGGGAGGAGAATCATTATCAGCATCAACAACCCAAGGCTGATTCCTAGGAGGTCAACCATATCTCGACCCTCCAACCTTTTTACCAGTTCTGGCACAAGCTGTCCCTCCCACAGCACTCTCTACTTCTTTGCTGGGTTCGATAATTCGTTGCAATGGCCACACAGAATTCACAGACCTATTAGGGAAATAACAGGTTATAATTCAGGATACAGTTCTTTGATCAGGACAGCCTCTTGTCAGTTGTGCCCACAGGCAGGCCTCCCTCTGGCCTTTGGCCCCTCAGCCTGGCCTCTGCCCTGTTCAGGCAAGTGTTACAAAGCTCTATAGCTCTGCCAATAAATGCCTAGAGGCACCCTACTCCATCAGGAAGCCTCCCGCCTGAAGCCACTCAGCTTTCTTGCTCCATGGGTTGGCAAGCCTAGCTCCACCAACAAGTGCCCACCAACAAGTGCCCGGAGACACCCCACTCTACCAGGAAGCCTCCTGTCCAAAGGTGTTCAGCTTTCTCGCTCTGTGGGTCAGCACACCCACTGTAATCACCTTACTCCATGGGCCGGGAAGCTACACGCGCTGTTTCTCGCCTGTCTCCTGGCTTCTCACCTTATTGCACTGTCTCCGGTATTACAGCTCGCTCTCTCTGTCTCCTGGGTTTACTAGGAGGTTCTCAGTGCAAGAATCCTTGGTTCTAAAGGACACACTTCACTCTTCTGTCTTGGTGGCAGTGATATCCCCCTTTCTGCCTCTGGAATGGCTCATTTTAAGCATAGTGGGATGGCAAAACTGACCAATCTCCTTGTTAGGGTTCCATAACCTTATTTGCATGGTCCCACACCCACAAGGGTGCCATGCACCTTATTTGTATTATTAGCAAGCTGTCCAATCCCCTTGGTGGGCCACAGGCACCTTATTTGCATACTCCCACCCAATCATTTGGTGGAAGGTACAAGACCATGGCAAGAAAAGCCATATAAAAGTGATCTATCCCACCACAATGACTAAGCATATGAAACCGCTAAGGTATTCCAGCACACTCATGACCATCCTTTAAAGTTAAGAAAGTACTACGTGAGCAGGTATGTCTTCTGTGAGTCTCACTTGCCTTATGTATCAAATATGCATAATGATATAATTTTGCATCAGATAATCTCTCAAGGTCTGTTTTAGCCCTGCGATCAATGACTTTTTTAAACTTTGGAAAGAATACACATATTTTAAATAACTGAGTATAACATACAGACAGCTAACATCACCAATCCTATGAAGCCTTCTCTGATCTCTCCTTTCTTTAAAATCCCATTGCACTTTGTCTTTCTTATGGCACATTACTTTACATAACGGATGATAGCTGGTAGGTAGTCATCTAGCCTGAGAGCTATTTGTGGGCAGAGACTATTTAAAACCTATTTTTGTCTCCCCACCCCTTCTTCTCACACTTGGTATAGTGCCTTACTCCGTGGGCCCGGAAGGTACATGCATTGTCCCTTGCCTGTCTTCCTGGCCTCTCGTCACAGAATGTTCTTTAAAAATATCTGCAAAATGAATGTGTATTAGAAGAAAGGCTGGAGATGAGAAGGCACACACTAAGACATCTTAGGGGGGAACTCAGATGACATTCATAAAAGAAAAAAATTTTAACTTCAGAGGGTAATTGAAACTGGAACTGCACACAAAGAGGTTGCCAGAGACAGATGCTAGAAGACACCATTCTGGAACTGCAAGGAAGCAAATAAAGATGTCCAAGCAAAGCCACTAAATCCTGAGGTATCTAAATATAATGGTTAGTTTTCAGATTGATACCAGGAAAGTCCCTAAGTAGGTTTTTTTAAACTTTTTTTGTTTTAATAATTTATGCTTTTTGTATGAATATGTAGTGGATTTGGTGAACTGTAGCTCACTGTATACTTAAAATATGTCACAGTATTTCCTTCACTGATTTCTTGTCATGTCTCCCTAAGTATGATTTAGTCAATGGCTGTTCTTTTGGTTTTATGTATCCATTCTCTACAGAGGGCTTAACTCGACAACTCTGGCCACTCAAACACCCTCTTGGTAGTTTCTCTTTCAATATCTATGAAAAGGCATTGTTATTCTCTCTCTCTCCCTGTCTATACTCCCTAAACTAGGTCTTTTTTTAATTTTCCTGTATCTTTCAATGGTACCATTTGTAACTTCTCTATGCCTCAATTTCCTTATCTGTGAAAGTGGGATAACAGTAATATCTATGTCACAGAGTTATTTGTGAGTATTTCATAACAATGCAAAGTGCTTGACACATAGTTGTTGTTAGGTGCCATCGAGTCAATTGCGACTTATAGCGACCTTATGTACAACAGAATGAAACATAGCCTGGTCCTGCACCATCCTCACAATCATTGCTATGGTTGAGCCCATTGTTGCAGACACTGTGTCAATCCATTTCGTCGAGGGTCTTTCTCTTTTTCACTGACCCACTACCTTACCAAGTATGATGTCCTTCTCCAGGGACTAGTCCCTTCTAATAATATGTCCAAAGTATGTGAGATGAAGTCTCATCATCCTTGCTTTCAAGGGGCACTCTAGCTGTACTTCTTTCAAGACAGATTTGTTCGTTCTGCTTGCAATCCATGGTGTGTTCAATATTCTTTGCAACACTGTAATTCAAAGGCATCGGTTCTTCTCTGGTCTTCCTTATTCGTTGTCCAGCTTTTGCATGCATATGAGGTGACTGAAAATATCATGGCTTGGGTTAGGCGCACCTTAGTCCTCAAAGTGACATATCTGCTTTTTAACTCTTTAAAGAGATCTTTTGCAGCAGATTTGGCCAATGCAACGCGTCATTTAATTTCTCAACTGCTGCTTCCATGGGCATTGACTATGGATCCAAGTAAAGAAATCCTTGACAACTTCAGTATTTTCTCCGTTTATCATGATGTTGGCACATAGTAGGGACTCAATATTTACTTAAATATTTACTCAATGAATGAGTCATATCCCAGGTCACCCAAACTCAAAATTTTAGAGGAATTTTTTTTATTTGCCCCTCTCAAATTTAATTAGTGAGCCCTGTTGATCCTTTGAATCAGAATTTTAGATTCTAAAATTCATAGCATCATAGAAATTTGGATAATTCCTGCCTTATTAATTTTTAAATACTATTTAATAAAAGCCAATATTTATTAAGCACTAAGTACGTTACGTGCATTATCGCATTTAATCTTCACAAGAAACCCCTGAGGGAAGTACTGTTATGATTAATCCCTATTTCCAGATGAGCAAACAGAGGTAATTTGCTGAAACAGAGCCAGGGCTTAAACAAAAGCTCTCTAATAGAGACCATGCTCTTAACCAGGGTCCCATACTACCTCCTCCCCACATTGCCTCCCCAATACACACACCCACCCACACACACACACCTGTGTTAGAGGTGAGATCATTTCATGAGATCATTCACATGATGAAAGCACTCGAGCTCCTCAGATTTAAGGGATTGTGATTTTTGTCCAGCTTGACGGTTCAGGAAATTGAGGACCAGAAAAATGAACCGAAACTGTTCACTCTCAGATGAGTGTTCTTTCTCTTAAACCATGAAACTCTACAGATTTCCTCCTCGATTGCTCCTGCTAACATGGATTTCCCTTTACTGGATTCCTAATGGAAATAAATATTGTCTACCACTGTTCTGATATTTAAATACACGCTGCCTTGCATTAATATTTTACTGTTTAGTGTTTGTTCTAGCTTATCTCCAATCGATATGTTCCATGTCATTTATAAGCTCTTTGGTGGCATGAATTGAATAATATTTATTTCATATTAGCTTCAGGACCTAGCACTGTGCCAGGCCCCTAGCCTACCTTCAGTAAGTATCTGTTGAATGAAATGCAAGAATGAGTGCACTTCTGCAAGTGCCAGGGCCCTGGTCCTTTCAACCAATGAGGAGAAAACCCAATTCTAGTTTCGGGAATCAATATCATACGTCCAGTAAAGGCTTTTTGGTCTTTCTAGTGTCTTTTTCTCTTCAGGCTTTTATCCCCAGTGGACCACATCAGAATTTTACTTTCTAGTCTTCTTATCCTTAGTCTCACCAACCTACATCCTTCATATTAGAGACAGAGAAAAAAAAAAAAAAAAATCCAGTTACGTAGATTGCTGTGTAACAATTCAAGCAAAAATTTAGTGGCTTAAAACCTCAAACAATATTTTATTATCTTTCATGGTTTCTGTGGCTGGTGAGTTCAGATAGGCCCTGGGACAGCTTGTTTTTGTTCATAACATCTGGGGCCTCAGCTGGGAAGACTTGAAGGCTCCAGACGATTTGATTGTTGGAAGAGACTCCATAACTGGGGACTAGACTGTCTGGAGGCATTTTCACTCACTATCTGGGAGTTAATGCTGGGACCTCAGTTGGGCTGTCAGCTGAGGACCTCTCCATGTGGTCTCTGCTTCCTCACAGCATGGAGTTTAAGAAAAATCACTCCAAGAGGACCAGACAGAGCTATGTCATCTTTCATGGCCTAGCCTCAGAAGTCACAGACAGAAGTTACTTCCGTTGTGATCATAGGCTCACCCAGATTCAGGGCAAGGGGACATAGAACACATCTCTCAATGGGAGGAGTATGTGGGAGGGGAGATCTTGAGGCCATCTTGGAGAATACAATCTGCCTCATCATCCTGAAAACATTAATCCTATCTTTCCATTATCTACAGAAAAAAAATTCTGGCATTGAAAGCAGTCTACAATTTGGCCTCAAATGCCTTTCCTACTTTACTTTCTATGTTATATGCGTCCTCCATTCTGGTCAGACTGACTACTCGGTTACCCAGACTTGTCAGACTCATTACCTCCACTGATTCCTTTTCTTTTGACCTGAGAAATCCTACTTCTCACTTAAAACTCATTAATGTTTGCTGAATTCTGAAGAATGAACTAAGGTGGCAAGGGCCATTGGGGATGCGTAAGTTACAACAATTCTGAGGATGCTTTCACAGCACCACCTGTCTGGGTGTGGACCTTTGCCACTCTACCTTGACTCACCTTCCTGTGTGCTTGGGAAGCAGAGATGATAGGTGAGACCTCAAAACATAATTCATTC